GGAGAGGGGAGGAGGGTTTGGAGATTGATATTAGATTCCAAATTATAAATTCCAGAGTCTAAAATCCCGGGCGCTTTGCTGCTCGTTGTGCACGTGGCGACCGTGGGTGTAGAGTGTTTATATTGGATATTGGATATTGTATTGTAGGTCTGTGTGTCCGTGTATGGCTGTATGGCTGTCTGTGTGTGTGTGTGTATTTTGGGGGAGGGATATGGGGGGGTTACTGCAGAGTCTGGTTGTTTAGAGTGGGGTTTGGGCTGGGTTGGGTTGGGTAGGTGGGGGAGGGGTATGTGTGTGAAGGGGAGAGAGGGGAGAGAGGGGAGGAGAGGAAAGGGAGATGCCAGATGGACTAGTCGAGTCTGCGGTTTGATTGATGAATGAAGCCAGAGGAAGATATTTACTAAACCAATACTCCATCATCCTGAACCGCGCTTGCCCTCAATCTCCCGCCCTGCAGTCTTGAGATTAGAAGGGATACAAAGGGAATCATTTTCTTCTAAGCCAGTGGCCTGGCTGGTCATACGGGGCATATATCTGTAGAGCAAGAAAATGAGAGCGGGGCTGGCTATTTTTACTGCTGGGGCGTGGACACCGAGGAGGGTCGACAAGGTGGGACTACTTCTTTGAGGCCAGGCCTGTTGGCGCAGGGTGGTATGTAACGTGATCCACCACCGAGCGCCCACCCCCACCGAGCGCCCACCAACACCAAAATCACTAAATTTTTAACACTAAATTTCTTAATAACTATAGCACCTATTAATAACGCGCTTGTAGTAATTAAATCCTTAACTCTTAGAAAAGATTTTATATACTTAGAAATAGTAGAAAAGTATAGTTACTTATAGTTAACCTTATCTAGATACTACTAGAAAATTTAGTAGGTATATACTACTACTTTACTAAATAGTTAAATACTTAATACTATATAAGAAAATAAGCTTATAAAGTATATTAAAGAGTTTTATAGGTAAGGATTACCCCTTATATAGACTATTATTTAAAATTTTATAACTAAAATAATAGGAAATCTAGTAAGTAAAAATTAAGTATAGCGCTTTATTAACTACTATAATATTAATCTTATCTTCTATTAGGCTACTAGGCTTAATTATAACTACTTTAAAGCTAATTCTATCTTTAAGTATAGCTTATACTTTAAGCTTTTATACTAAAAAATAGAGTAATATAATATTAAGAGTTAGTATATCTATAATATAAATAAAAAGAGTTTTCTTATTAGAGTACTATTAAAAACTAAATATATATTTAATAAAAGCGCCTATAAGTAAAGAAAGATTAAAGCTATACTTTAGGTTAGTAATAGGGAGTAGATTACTACTATAGCTTATATATATATTAATAGTACTACTCTTACCTCTACCTTTATTTATTAGTCCTAATCTAGAGCTCTATAGGATACCTAGTTATAAGATTTTAACCTATTATAATACTAAGCTTTCTTTATAGGATTACTAAGTAGGTAGATAAGCCACACCCTAGGGGTATCCTAGCTTAAGGAGGTGTTTAATCGCAAGATAAAAGCTAAAGCTTATACTTTATACTAGCTTCTTATCCTTAATAGCTATAGATCTTATATAATAATAAAGTTTATTAAGTACTATAATAAATATAAGATCCTACTTATAATATATCCCTCTTATAGAACTTATACCCTTTAGCTACTTAATATTATAGTATTTACTCCCTTTATAGCTTTATATAAAGCTTAACTATCTAGTTTTCTAAATAGCTCTTAAGGGCTTATAACTATTATTAAGAGGGATTTCTACTAGTTATTTAATACTATATAGAGTAATACCTTTAAGGAAAAGCTAATATTAATAGCTTTTAAAGTAATAGGTATCTTACTACTTAACTTTAATATTATCCTTTTAAGGTTTAAAGCACCTATAAATAATAGTAACTAGCCTTCTTTAAGTAATAGTATAACTTTAATATTAAGTATAAGTAATTAGAGAAAGATAGAGTAGTTACTTTATAATACTATAATTAATATCTATAATAAATAGTTAAAGAAGCTTAGCTAGATAATCTATACTATATTAGTAAGAAATACTCTACTTAACTATAAAAATAAATACCTAAGGGCTACCCTAGCTAATAAGAAGAAGCGTAAGAAGCGTAGTAAACCTCTATTATTACCCTCTAATAATAATTATAGTAGTAGTACCTAATTTATTTTACTATTAAAGGTAAAATAAGTATTTAAGCTTTAGAAGTAAAAGAACCTTAAAGAATAGAAGCTATAATACTAAAAAAGTAAGGTAATTAAGCTTTATAAGTAATAGAAGCTTACTAAAGCTTAACTTATAAAAGAGTATTACCTAAATTAAGTAATTACTAAAAAAAAGTAAAAAAAAAAGCTACTTAAAAAGCTACTATATATAATAAGTAGAAAACTACTAAGTAACTAGAAAAGTAACTCTAAAATAATATTAAAATATCCTAAATAGGTAAGAGGTAAATCCTTAAGCCTCCTACTATTATACTAGCTAAGGTAGTTAATAAGGAGCTAGTAGAAGAGGATATAGTAGTAGAGGCAACTTTATAGCGTAGGCGCCTAATTATACCCCCTAAAAAGCTACTTATATAATCTAAAATATTTAATCTACTCTAATAGATCTAATAATTATAACTCTAAGAAATCTTATAATAATAGCTATTGTGGGTGGCGCAATATCCTTATTTAGTAGGTGGTAGATCACGTTAACGCACGGCGCCAAAACAACCCCCTCACCCCTTTAACCTCTAACGTGATCCACCACCGAGCGCCCACCCCCACCGAGCGCCCACTAACACTAAAATCCACCACCCACTAAATAAGGATATTGCGCCACCCACAATAGCTATTATTATAAGATTTCTTAGAGTTATAATTATTAGATCTATTAGAGTAGATTAAATATTTTAGATTATATAAGTAGCTTTTTAGGGGGTATAATTAGGCGCCTACGCTATAAAGTTGCCTCTACTACTATATCCTCTTCTACTAGCTCCTTATTAACTACCTTAGCTAGTATAATAGTAGGAGGCTTAAGGATTTACCTCTTACCTATTTAGGATATTTTAATATTATTTTAGAGTTACTTTTCTAGTTACTTAGTAGTTTTCTACTTATTATATATAGTAGCTTTTTAAGTAGCTTTTTTTTTTACTTTTTTTTAGTAATTACTTAATTTAGGTAATACTCTTTTATAAGTTAAGCTTTAGTAAGCTTCTATTACTTATAAAGCTTAATTACCTTACTTTTTTAGTATTATAGCTTCTATTCTTTAAGGTTCTTTTACTTCTAAAGCTTAAATACTTACTTTACCTTTAATAGTAAAATAAATTAGGCACTACTACTATAATTATTATTAGAGGGTAATAATAGAGGTTTACTACGCTTCTTATACTTCTTCTTATTAGCTAGGGTAGCCCTTAGGTATTTATTTTTATAGTTAAGTAGAGTATTTCTTACTAATATAGTATAGATTATCTAGCTAAGCTTCTTTAACTATTTATTATAGATATTAATTATAGTATTATAAAGTAACTACTCTATCTTTCTCTAATTACTTATACTTAATATTAAAGTTATACTATTACTTAAAGAAGGCTAGTTACTATTATTTATAGGTGCTTTAAACCTTAAAAGGATAATATTAAAGTTAAGTAGTAAGATACCTATTACTTTAAAAGCTATTAATATTAGCTTTTCCTTAAAGGTATTACTCTATATAGTATTAAATAACTAGTAGAAATCCCTCTTAATAATACTTATAAGCCCTTAAGAGCTATCTAGAAAACTAGATAGTTAAGCTTTATATAAAGCTATAAAGGGAGTAAATACTATAATATTAAGTAGCTAAAGGGTATAAGTTCTATAAGAGGGATATATTATAAGTAGGATCTTATATTTATTATAGTACTTAATAAACTCTATTATTATATAAGATCTATAGCTATTAAGGATAAGAAGCTAGTATAAAGTATAAGCTTTAGCTTTTATCTTATAATTAAACACCTCCTTAAGCTAGGATACCCCTAAGGTATAGCTTATTTACCTACTTAGTAATCTTATAAAGAAAGCTTAGTATTATAATAGGTTAAAATCTTATAACTAGGTATCCTATAAAGCTCTAGATTAGGACTAATAAATAAAGGTAGAGGTAAGAGTAGTACTATTAATATATATATAAGCTATAGTAGTAATCTACTCCCTATTACTAACCTAAAGTATAGCTTTAATCTTTCTTTGCTTATAGGCGCTCTTATTAAATATATATTTAGTTTTTAATAGTACTCTAATAAGAAAACCTTTCTTATTTATATTATAGATATACTAACTCTTAATATTATATTACTCTATTTTTTAGTATAAAAGCTTAAAGTATAAGCTATACTTAAAGGTAGAATTAGCTTTAAAGTAGTTATAATTAAGCCTAGTAGCCTAATAGGAGATAAGATTAATATTATAGTAGTTAATAAAGCGCTATACCTAATTTTTACTTACTAGATTCCCTATTATTTTAGTTATAAAATTTTAAATAATAGTTTATATAAGGGGTAATCCTTACTTATAAAGCTTTTTAATATACTTTATAAGCTTACTTTCTTATATAGTATTAAGTATTTAACTATTTAGTAGAGTAGTAGTATATACCTACTAAATTTTCTAGTAGTATCTAGATAAGGTTAACTATAAGTAACTATACTTTTCTACTATTTCTAAGTATATAAAATCTTCTCTAAGAGTTAAGGATTTAATTGCTATAAGCGCGTTGTTAATAGGTGCTATAGTTGTTAAGAAATTTAGTGTTAAAAATTTGGTGATTTTGGTGTTGGTGGGCGCTCGGTGGGGGTGGGCGCTCGGTGGTGGATCACGTTAGATGAAGGCTTCTTTGGGGGAGCCGAAATATCACCATGGGAAGAGGGTAGTGCGTGTGGGGTATGGATGGGGATTGCAGTGGAGATTAGATGGACGTGAAATGGAGATTAGATGGAGTTGAAAGGTAGATCAGATAGACATGAAATGTAGGTTTGAAGATTGAAATGTAGATTAGATGGAGATTAGATGTATATGGGAATCTAACTACAACATCAGTCCGAGAGAGATGTAGAGGGTCATGCACGACGTACAATACTTGCCTACATGCGGTATAGACTGGTCTATACACATGTCTAAACAGCGGCAGCGCAAGTGTTTTTACAGTCAAGGTAGGTACCTGGTAAAATGAAGGGTATAGTGAGATTGAAATTGTCTCAGTGCTCGGTTGGAGGCCCATCGTGCGTTCTGGGCATTCTGGGCATTCTGGGCGTTGCTTTTCGCTCACGGGTTGTTTGAGTGCCCATCTTAGCAGTACGAGCGTGAAGCGTTGATGGCCTTGGTAGCAGCGGTGCGGTGTATTGGCAGGAGAAGAGAGTCCGGGTAGAAGAGCATGGAGATGTTGATGGGAGGGGGAGATGTGGATTGTCCCGTCTGGGATGGCGATGGCGATAGCGATGACTAGGATGGGGATGTTGCGGCGTTATTGTGAGGCCTTGTTCTTGGAGTCACTCTAAGAGTGTACTTTGTAAGGTACCGTGGATGCAGACGGGACATGGAGATTGAGTCAGGCTAAGGGGCATTCGTACATTTGTCATGAAGTGTACCCATCTCAGAGACGATGTCAGGGTTGATTGGTCGGGCAGACTCGGACGGAATGCAAGACATGAAGCACGGGGCCGTTGGAATCGGAGACGTGCGGCTGGTCTGGAGCAAATGGGTGAGTCGGCAGAAGATGTGTTTCGAACGTGATTCCCCAACTCATTGATTGTTCGCGTGGGCGTTCGTCATACTGTGTGTGTATGTGTGTTGATGAGGGAAACTGGAGCGAAAGGTAAGATAGACGACTTTAACGGGCCGTTGTCTTTTGTAAAACTAAAAAAGTCTGTGATGATCCTATGTACCCGCCATGTCCTGAAAGGTGACTTAGCTAGTGTAAGTGGTAGTAAGAGTACAAGACGACGTCACAGGGCGCAAGTTAGGTATGTTGTCCGTACAAGTGGGGGCGAAAGCTGTATAGTGTCTGCACTGCCACATTCTGAAACAAGTGCGCGGGTAAGTCAGAAGTCCCAGGTATGGCATCAGGCTCCCGAAGGGCCGTTGTTCTCGTCGTGAAATGGGAGGCGGGCGGCCATGTTGAGGTAGGACTGACTCGTCAGATGCAGAAATGTCGTTTCAAACAAGATACCGTGTATAATCAGAAAGCGTCTCTCGCCATGTTTGACGGGCGGGGGGAGGAAACGGACTCGCCAGGACCATGGTTTGCGACATCGCCAAGTTCCCCTTGACGCCATACAACCATGCTTGGTAGATCGATGCATCTACAATGACAATCATTACTGCATACACGCTGCAGTCCATTGGCCACCCGGTATAGAGGAAAGTCTTCCCCAGCCCTGCAGACCCAAACGGCAAGGAAGACGCGTACACATGCTGTGGTGATGCAAAGCAAGGTCGCCACTATGCTCTGTGAAGTCCAAACCATGTTCCCGCCTCCCAGGGTCTCGGGATCCCGCCATGGACCGCCTGCCAAGACACGCCAAGCCTCCTCACTTCCACCCGTCCACCTCATTTGCGCCCTACACACAGCCTCCTCCTGGATGCGCAACCACGAAGCCAGATTCCAACTCATGGGGGAACTCTACGGAACCCTACACATTCCCCCAGTATCTGACCAACGTTCGGATCTTTTTATGGCGTCCGACGAGCGGAGTCTTGTTTGAGGGTGGATACGTGGATACCCGGGTAGGCCTACGCAGCTCATACCCGTAGACACTACTTTCGTCGTCGTCCCATGAGAGCGATTTACAGTCGTGTATGGCAAACTCGAATCAAACCGGATCAGGGATAACCGGTGCTGATCCGATTCTACCATGTCTCTACACGTACGGAGGTTGTTGATCTGGTAGACTTGTTCTCCACAACCCATACGTCACTCTTGATATGCAGTACGTTTTGATGAAAAGGATGCTGCTTTGACTCATGTCCACTCTGCGGGGTGGTTGTAACAAATGTCAAAACATGATCCCAAACTTCATCGAACAATGCCACTGCCTTCTAGACCGACCGTGTAAACGGCTGCGGACTCGACGGCCAGCCACCAGCAATTAGACGCTCATGCGCGACAGTCGGAAGCCTAGCTATCCAGGATCTACCGGTAATGTCCCTACTTCATGCCGTCCTCGGTATTGGAACTGCTCTGTCGTTGGGGAAATAGCGAAGATCAATGCCCTGAAACTACGCTGCTCCGCACGTTTTGTCGTAACAGGAGCCAAGCAACTGTTCCCCCGATACGCGAGTGGGTGGAGCATCCCAGCTTGTCGTGTTTCGAACAAATGAGGGTAGTCCCGTGAACGACGGATACTCAAGAACTTACCCGTCCTTCTCAAACCTGCCCAAATGGGCGGGAACGGGTAGTTTCACGCCCATCACTTTCCAGCAGTGGAGAAGAGTTACTCTATCTGCGGCTGAGTATGCTATCCAGTACGTCTTGGCCGACATGGGAATTACATGTCTCAAGATCGGATGAGGACGACCGACAGACTGCGTGGTACAGAACATCGTGTATAAGAGAAATGTAGAGCCTCTCTATCAAGTTTGGTCACACCAACCATCCAACAGCCCTTCAGATTCGAGATTCATCCAATTCTTCCCTTTGTGCCTTCTCTTCGTTGCTTGACGCAAACGTGTTCGCTAGCCGATATCGATCACTTTCCATACACTCCTCCAATCCAACACCCGGTCCTACGCATTTGACAATACTACCACGATGAAGGTCTCCGTCGCTGCTTCCATCTTGGCTTTCGCCGCCACCACAATGGCTGGCCCTTCTGCCGTATCCCCAAGGAACTTCTTCAGCATGACCAGGCGTTCCGCCCTTCCTATTCCAAAATCCGCCGGCACCGAAACTCTCAAAGAGCCCAGGCGTGTTTCTGGAACTTTTGATGGTGGAATGAAGACTTATGGTCGTGGCGTCCGTTGCTCTGGGTACGTTAGACTACGACAAATGTTTAAACTGCAAATTGACATTGTGATAGTCAAGCCGAGGGTGGTAATAAAGATGCTGTTTTCCTAATTGAGAACGGTGGTACCCTCAAGAACGCGATCATTGGTGAAGACCAGATCGAGGGTGTCCACTGCCTTGGCAGCTGCACCATTGAGGTAAGCCAACGAAGCCAAGCCAACATCAACACATCAAACTAACAGCCATAGAACGTCTGGTGGGCCAAAGTCTGCGAGGGTAAGTTTCTAATCCTGTAATCTTCTTCCTAATCTTCTCCGACTCAAACCTGACGAAATCCCAGACGCTCTCACCATCAAGGGCGACGGCGACGCATCCATCATTGATGGCGGAGCCACCGGTGCCGAAGATAAAGTCATCCAGCACAATGGCGCCGGTACCGTTACCATCGACGGCTTCACAAGCACCGACTTCTTGACCCTCTACCGCGCCTGCGGAAACTGCAGGAAGAGCGCCGCACGCCACGTCGTCATCAAGGGCGTCAAGGCCTACGACGGTGAACGCCTCGCCGGCATCAACAGCAACTTTGGCGACACTGCTACCATTGACTCTTCCACTTGTGCTACGGGCGTCAAGAACATCTGCCAGGAGTACAAGGGCGTTTCCAGGGGTAGCGAGCCAGAGTCCATTGGTAGCGGTCCTTCCAAGGCTTGCAAGTTCTCTAACATCAAGTCATGCTAGATGCCCTGTTTGGCTTAATGGGGAAGGTGTTGTGGTTGGTGATTGGCTCTATGGTGTAGTCAAGAATCAAGATTGGGGGTGGATCACGGCAACTCGAGATTCTGGATAATCTGAGGTAAGAGGAGGCGAAACCAGACAGCAGCGCTGGCACCATCTTGACGGCGTTTTATCTTCTTGTTTATCTCTTTTGATCACTTTCATTTCTTGTGCAGTATACTTTTCAAGTTTTAGCGCACGTTAGTTGATATGAAAGCATAGGTCTTTCCATCAGCAATATTATATACATGTCAGTGATGTGGACGTCAATACTTTGCACATCTTTCCCGTTTCAAGAAATGATAATGGCAAATGCCTGTTATACCGTAGGTTATCCATGCAGCCGGCTTACACTTCCGCACTGCATCCCAGCACTGCCACAATCCCTGTGTCATAGGTAAAGCTTTTCTCTAACATGACTAAGACCTTGCTCAATTGTAGTATACTGTTCTTCCTTTCCAATTCCAAACTTCAACACGATCCTATTGTTTGCCAGTCGTATATGACCATCTATGCACAGCTGATAAAATATGCTAGATTCGAGCTCCATGTATACTATTCAGAAGCTCTAGTCGACCTGATAATCTTTTTGCCAGCCGTTATGTAAATTTCGGTAGCATTTCTCTCCGCACGCCAATTTTTCTCACCCGTGTGGCATTGCTAGATCACTGTTCATGCTCACTGTATATAGGTAACGCGGTATCAATAGGACTGAATTTGGCCAGTTAGACCAGTAAATTATTGGTAGAAGCTCAAGTTTCTCACTATAGAACGATAGCAGAAACTGTCGCCCAAAGTTAGGTTCCATGTTTTTGGTAAAGATCATCTTCTAGCAGAGAAAAGGGAATATGGAAGTTAGAAACTTCAGAGCCATTCTACAAAGGGGTAGCTTGTGTTGTACGGCGCATGTAGGTATAGCTGCCTTTTTTCTCTCCAAAACGCGGCTTTAGCCAAAATTTTACGCTGTCGATGTCGTTGGGAGACGGGGAAGCTGGGGTGTCGGGACCGTCAGCTTGTTGAGATTTTGACTGGCTTAGGGCCTGTTTAGGAGGGCAATTTTTGGGTACATTCTGTGGGGTGGTACTTTGAAGTGGGTAAGCTTGGTGTGTCTCGTAGTGCGTGTATGTGCCATGCATATATTCCCACCCTGGTAACTATGGCTGATCATCACCAGATCGGACTTGAAACAACGAGGAGTTTTCTTTCTCACTTTATGATGCGCAAACGTCAAAACATAAACATGTGTTGCGCATGTAAACATAGTGAGACCATGTCTCTATTTTGTGCAGAGGTTGTGGTAAATAAATGCCAGGAGTAGGAAGCTAATGGTATCGACATCTTTGCGCCTCGTGACTGAAGTAGGCAATGCGTCTACAGCTTCCAACTAATATCATTGCCACTTTAGCCAACTTCCCACCTCACTATTGCTTAGGGTTTAGTTAGGGTCACACTATAAAGTAATTAGCAAAGTGCTATATAAAAATCGTTTCGTATGGTAGAGTTGACTAACGCAAACAACCTGTAGACATATTGTTAGATTATAGTTCACCATGCTTTACTACTTGGACCTGAACTTACCATTCCCGTAACACCAAGCCATGTACAAGTTGAAAAATGATAGTCTGCGAGCATACAGGAGTCTGCAGGGCGCCCCTGATGTAGGGCCGCTACTATCTCAGGTTTGGGTTCATCGAGGACACCCTATCGCACATATTAGCATCTTCCCTTATAACCAGGTTGTCCTGTCGACATACGCAAAAATACTGCCATCCATCACGTTGTCTGCAATTGGATGAAAGCGTTGATGGCGCACTCCATCCATCATTGGTGTTCCACTGTATTTTGGCCAGTGCCAAAGGCAGAGATGCAAGAAGAACTAGCTTCATGTTGTTTATAAGAGAGAGTTGCTAGTCATGCAAAGGAGATAGCAACTTTGGGAGGAAATGTTGGCATCTTTAATACTACAGAAGACCTATAAATAGCTATCAGGCTGTGGACAAAATCCGATCTTGAATCAGGAATTTTACTTCCGCAAAGATCCGCCGGTACCTATTGTGCCTGGGACGGCATTTACAGGACATTTGCACTTTATATTGTATCCCTGCTAGTCCCTGTATTGTACAGAGTCTAACCAGTTGGATGCTGTAGAACAGTCTAACTGTTCCACTGCTTGATGTCTACAATGGACACTTTTTGAATAGTTGGCAGAAATCGGAATGCTAAGCACTACCTGCAAAGCAGAGAAACTTGACGCAAACAAGCTTTGGACACGTTGTTCGATTATACTTACCATATTTTCCATTACCATGGCCAAGCTTGACTATGTTTAAATGTAACTCACTATCCACTTACTAGTAAGACCTTGCAAGGTCCATGGTGTATCATGATTGTTCGCTAATGTCTACCGGATATGACATGATCTTACCAGAAGGTAACACGACTGTTCAGTATTTACCGATCGTTGGAGTACTGGCTGCCTCGGAAGAGTACCCTTTGGGTACAGACCACCTCTGGTCACCTCGGACCACCTCGAATGATCACCTTCTCCACCGCCGGCACGTTTCAGTTGACCAGACATCGGAGCAATCAATCTCAGAAATTCGCAGTGCAGTATCCTGGTTGTTAGCGTCTTCCCTTGTATCTTAGTTATCGCCACTTGGGCGAGATGATGGAATAAATGACCTGACAAGTGAGGGCTTTTTGTATTACTATGGGTACAATTACAAGACCTGCAGATCGCTGCGAGAATACGGGTCGAAATTGGTCCTAAGTTGATGATTTTGCTTTTTATCGGCCCGCCTAAATTAGTATGAAGTGTGCAAGATATTTACTACTGTGTTTCTTTGATTCCCAGAACACTGTACTTTTCACGGCCTGGAACACTTCTCAATGGTTAGCAGAATTTTGATAAGTTGAAGGATGACTAGTTCTATAGCAGGGTTAACTCACGCAAAGAATCTGTATACATATCAGTTTGAAATTCATCTTATTGATTAAACTGCACCATTTAGGCGTAAACTTACAACTCCTGAAAATCCGTTTGATTCACAGGGGGCAATATGGTCTTTATATGCTGAATAACAGCTTTCCTCAAGGTGCTGAGTAGGAAAGGCTGTGTTTGTCTTGTCTCTTTCGGGAAACTGAGTGCCCTATCCTGTTGTTAGCATGTTTTCCCTTGCAACAAAGTTTTCGTGTCCGCATACGCAGAGAAAAGTGTGATCATGTAATTGTGCGCAGAAAGGGTTGACATCTCGCGGCTCTGGCGCAGACCAATAGTTATTAGTATACCAAGGTGCCCAGACTTCCGTTGTTGCCAATGTCAAAGGAGACAGGATCGCGAGAACAATTAGCTTCATGTTAGCTGTAAGCGTGCCAGTCGTGCAAAGATGGAGTCAGAAATAGTGTAATAAGAGGACCTTTTGTACTGGCTCGGGAATGAATGGAAGACCTACCGATTGCTCTCAAGAATGGGGTTCAAAGTCGGCCCTGAACAGTTAGTCTCGCTTTTCTACACTGTCGGCCCGCCAGCACTACGGTCCACTATTGTTTCAAGTAAAGACTCTAGGGTCTTGACCATAGGATTAACAGCCTACCAACAGAGCTATAGATATAGCCACTACAAGCTTCTATATTCAATCAACAAACAGGGGTTGAAAGTAATTTATTTGTATTCTGCATTATCATAATACCTTCACGCACATAGTTTCTTACTGTTCAATATTCTTGCTATAGAGATGAAAGACGTCCAAATTGTAAGAGAGGTGACAGTATAGTCTACAGGCGGCAGTGGTAGTAGTGGAGGTGGTGGCGGAGGAAGAAGCACAGGAAAAGTTAGAGAAGATCAAGGAGAGGACGGGTGGATGTGCTGAGTTATTGAGAAACGAAGTAGATAGTTATCTTATTATGTCATATCATTAAATTGTTGCTCCAAAGGAAAAACCCCTTCGTCTGCCCCATTGCGCGGGGATCTCCCATCGCCGTGCTTTCTCCTTTGGCCTCTGCAGCTGCTCCGTGACTCTTTCTATCTGTACTTACGGGTTATCTTGTGAGCTGAACTAGGCACTTTAAAGATTAGTCTACCTACTGTGAGTTGAGCTGCACAGCACGGTGACGTGCATCTAGCGGTGTAAGCTTACTAAAACGCACGAGCGGAAGGCAACGTATTTGCACCTGGGACCATCGCTGGAGGAGTCTACTGTACACAGTAAGTATTGACCTACTAGAGAGCCTTGAAATGAGTAATTGATAGATCTGATCGCCGAATATTGCCCTTTTGAACATATTTGCCTCTGACTTTGAATCCTGCATCCTCCCCCCTCTCCCGCACCCTATATATCATAATTCATTCTTACTTTTACTCACCTTTGATCTAGCCGCGCTCCATGCCATTTTCAATCTTTTCCTGTCACTGACCACTCGGAGACTCTCCGAGCATTACCATGCAAATTCTCAGATGTCATCACCCGCCAACACGGACATGGTATATATCAGCACCTTAAGCAAAGATGCTGAGACGACCTTCAAGGATCCAAGTAGTCGTCATATGAAACAATTGGCGTTGGAACGCAAAGTTTTTGAAGATGAGTGAATGCGTGAAAAAGAAGAGGACTTGACCCTTATTACCAACGTCGTGAAAAAGATCGTCAAGGGTTCGAGCATGATCGAGTGTATTGCTTAGCCCCTCTGAAGTAAGCTCAACACATCGAGCCATCGAAGGTCGTTGTCTAACATTACATACGCATGATGATAATCTTGTCAGCCGTAAGGACATCGAGTGATGGGGCGTATGTGTGGCTATCAAGTCCTGTTAGGCCACAGTGGCGACTCCCACTGCGCCAACAAAAAAAAATACTGTCGCGACCAGGGAGTGCCACGTATGCGACTCTGTCATGAACTGTCATAGCCAACGGCAGGACAACATCACCAGAACTCCTAGTACTAGCGTTCCCTAGGTCACTCATAGGAAGAAGGTAGGAGATTCCTTCGTAGAGGCGTCGTAACATATCCAGAGTTACCATAACTACTAGCATGCACTATGTAGAATAGAAGTTTCGAATCTAAAGGTATATTGTGCTAGTCAAAGAGGATCACGATCCCCCATCTCAAGATCAAAAGAGACAAAAGTATAACACCAGGCAGCGATAGATGACACAAATCTCCACTGTCCAGGATAAGCTCGAATAAACCTATCTCGTAAAAACAAGTCCACCACAAACTAAGAACGCAGTACACCCGCTCACCCAAACAAGAAATCCCATGATGAGCATTACCGCCCTCGTGGCTCACTACCACTAACACCAAACCACATCAAACACACCCCAAAAGGCAACCCACAAGCGCCCACTTCCCAGCCTTTTCCCTCCTTACACAAAGAAATGTCCAAGGCTGAGAATATGCGTCACAAAATAAAAGACAGTAAAAGACAACATGTCAAGCGCAGGAGACTGCAATCCTCATGTTACTAATTTCCTCTTTCCTCGTAAACCAAGCTAAAAAAATAACAAGGCTCATCCCAGCCTCAACCCAACATAACCCAATCGAACATTAATAATCCAGGATACCAAGAAAAAACTCCTCCAGAAGAGATCCTCACCCCTCGCAGAAATACAAGTCCCACTACCTAGTCCAACCTAATCAAAACTCCCCTTGACAAGAGTGTGAGTAAAAGACTCCAACCACAATCATGTGTATCTGAATAACCTTGCTCACCTACCTTTCAAACCTCCGGTTAATGAAAGCCCCGAGGAAGAAAACAAGCAAAACAGAGAAGAGCAGAGAAGAGGGAAAGAAACAAGATAGAACAGAAAAATTAGATGGTATATACACATTGAACCCCTCCTCCCTACTGCAGACTACAAACGAGGCAAGGTATCCACAAAACCCGTCTCTCTCTGCGTCTGCGTCTGCTTCTGCCCGTACTTCGACCTCTGCCTGCACAAAAAGAAAAGAACTACCTTGAAGACAAGACAGGAATTAGAAAATTCGGGGATAGTTATAGCTCACTTCGAAGAAGCTTGCTCGAGTGGTGAGTGAGCTGCTTCTTGATCTTCTCGCTGTTGCTCTATTTCCTCGTCTTTTGGCGCAGTCTTGTGGGCCGTGGATGCGAGGTGCTGATCTGCTGGAGGAGCCGGGGCATGGCCATTTGTGAGGTCGACTTCGGCTTTGGGGTTGGGTTTGTGACTGCCATTGGTCTGCAGCGCAGCTTGCTTCTGCGCGCTGGAAGATGCGAAACGTGCATGGTCTTCCAAACCATTACCCAAACGAGTCGCGTTCAGCACGTCCTCTCCCGCATTCGCATTCGCATTCGCATTTCCATTACCACCGCCACGACCCCTCTTACCCGCCCTCTCCTTCAACCCCAAACCCCTCACCGCCCTCCTCATACCCTCCAGCCTCGCCTTTTCAACCACTACCATCCGTTTCGCCAACTCCCTCACACATCGCCTCCCCATCTCCACTCTGCCCTCCTGCCAGCTCGCCGCCTCCGCCGCAACAACCTGCTGACTATACCTGAGCTCCCTACCCAAATCCTCGAGCTCTGCGCGCGACTTGTCCATCTTGTCCTGCGCATCGCGCTGAACGCGGGACCGCGCGTCGTCGAGGAGGCCGAGGGGCCAGCGATCGGAGCGGCGAACACTGAGGTTGTGACGGTCGATTGATTTCTGGGTGACGGACATGCTGGCTATGAGGGTGGAGGGGCGGGTGAGCGAGTTGAGGATTGCGGTGATGGTCGAGGAGATGGCGTGCATATTGTAGTAGAAGCCAGCCATGGGATTGGCTTCGCTTTGTGTAAGCGTCCTTGTGTAGCGATCTAGTGCTTGGAGATGAGCTGCGGGTAGAAAGGTCAACGAGTGCAGGGCTGTATTCGCCATCTTGGCTGCGTCGTGCAGATCCGAGGCTGCGGAGCGCACTTTGTTTGTACGTCGGAGTACGGATTTGGAGGCGTGATGGAGAGAGCGAATGTTGTCGCGCATATGTTGAACAAAGGATTCTACTTCCCGCACATCATACATGGGTGCGTACTCTTCGCGGAGACGCTCGACGCGCAATTCGGCTTTGCGGGCGGAGCGCTCGGCAAGCATGGTCGAATCAATATCGGGAACGAGGAAGAACTCCCAGACCATTTCGTGAGTGGCAAAGGTGGGGTGGCGGAGCAGGATTTTGAGGAAGCCATCAAGGCGGAGTTGCATATCGCGAAGGATGGAGCGAGACGGTCTGGATGGAATAAGGTATGGTGAAGCCAGAGTTTGGATCGCGGGTAGCCAGGAGGCGGGGTGTTCTTGAGCGAGCCATTTTGCGAGGTTTTCAAAGTCCTGGGATGACCGGCGGCAGGTTGTGACGGTGATGGTCCCGTTGCGATTTGGTGCTCCGGATTTCAGGACCAATCGAACGGTACCATCTTCCACGAAGAAGGATCGTACCACAGTAGTCGTTCGCCCGTCCGGCCCAGGTTCATTAGAGAGGAGCACGAGGTCGTCGATACGATTGCGAATATCATCGTCTTTGGCCAGCTCGACAGCGGTAAGACCCCGTGCATCTCTAAACGATAAGTCGACTCTGGGGTCTTGGAACAGTATTCTAACCATGTCTGTGCGCCCATACTTGCTGGCAACCATGAGGGGTGTAAACTGCCTATCGTTCGTAGCATTGGCATCCGAATCGCAGTGGTATAGTAGTTTGTTCGCAAGATGCGGATCAGTGATGATGTGGAGTAGACTATTGCCCTTGTTGTCAACGTGCTCATCAAGGTGGAGCGGTTGATCATCGCCTTGCGCATGCGTTGCAGCAGTGAGCGCTTTGTCCACCATGTCATGGTACTCGTGATGGTCGTAAGATCTACACAGAGCAAAGAGTGGTGTCTGTCCATTCTTGTCTTTCAGCCGCCAGGGCAACAAATGACCAATGCGATCTATAAGTCGAGGTTGGTTGAACAGATAATGTGCTACACATCTACCCTTGGAGTCTTGCTTCGCTAGGTACTGTCGTAGCGAATCCGGGCTTGGACTATTATCCAAAATGTAGTTCAAGATCGTGTCTGTTGTCCTAGCGTGTGCCAACTGCACGGCGGCACTTAACAGTGTTGCGCCGTCATTGTTCGCATCTTCGAGAACAAAAGAAGCGGAATAGTATTCCGTGAGACTCAATAGATACTGCAGGGCTTTGTCTTGTTTCGACTCGATGGCCATCATCAGCACTGAATCGCCTTCCACCCCCTGTGTCATGACGAGTTTCTCAATGGATGTGTCGCCCTCGATGCCACTGGTTCTGGAGTCAAGTGTTGTGCGCGATGCAAAGGATCGTGCTGAACCGCTAGAGAGGCTCCGCGTATCCATCGAAACACTCTTCTTCATCTTTGGCGTGTCCTGCAGTGGTGGCGTTTGAGCTCGCTGGAAGGGGAAGATGTGTGCGAGTGGGCCATCCTCACTCTGACTCTTATCGTGAGATGAACTTCGATGTCTTGGTCTCGAGTGGTGATCGCCGTTTACTGTCGTACCATTCATGTGCGGAAGATCTGTGAGATTCGCTGCGAATCTGACAGGATGATGTCTCTCCGGCGGGTCACTTTCATCTGAGTCGTACATGGCTTGATTGAAAGATCTGTCAGGTTCGAGCACGCCTTGCATTGTCGCTAGATCACCAGATTTGGTCGCTTGCCATAATGTCCTGTTGCGCCGACTGGCTCTTCGCAAACCCCCTGAATCTTGAGACAAATACGACAGGACAGCTTCGAACGTGCTCAGTGCATAGCCCATCTCGCCGCTCTCGACGTCGTCGATGAAGATGAAATGCCGCATATATGACAGACGGGCTTGTAGATGCCTGACTGGGGCGCGAATTACCACGATAAGCAACAGTGAGACAAGGGTATCCGCGTTAATAGTAAGAGCATGGTCGCGTTTTTCTGAAATTTGCTCTCCGTTGGTCAATGTTCCTGGTTCCGTATTCGGTAGTGTTGATGTCGAATCTGGCTGTGTGATGTGTTTCTGTACTGCGAGTAATATCTCGAGCATTTCCTGTGGACTTCCTGCCACTCCCATCCTCTTGAACATGTCCACAGCCTTTGACAGCCGTATGGCGAGTTCCTGTTTGCCTTTGCGGCCATTTCCAATGTCGATACCAACTTGCGATATATCAATATCGGTCATCTGTCGCGTCCGGCGCTCCAGATCGGCATCCTCGAGCTGTCGCACTTGCCGTACTCGCGGGAATAGAACTGTATGATGTACCTGCTCCACAATGTAGCGTTCTATCATGCGCTCTACTATGGGGCCAGTCAAGTCGGTCGTTGCGCCCAGTAGCGATAGTTGTTGCTTGTCAACCATTTGGAATAGGTCAATAGCAGCCGTCACAGCCGTCTCGAGCGACCTCCGCATCTGATCCTCCTCATCACTGATCTCCAGGGTCGATATGAAACCGTTTGGACCCTGAGACATACTGCTCTGCCTTGAAAGGGGGGCTGTCTCGGCCGATGACACAGATCCAGCCCTGCGCGATCTTATAGACGACGCCCGCGAACTTTGCGATGGTGTCGCGGGTAGTGGTTTTTCCAGTTCACTAGCGAACTCTTTGAATAGCCTCTCCAGTCCTGGCTGCAACTGGCGCGCAATCATTGGGAAATGGTTGAGGAGGTCGCTGAATGACTTGACTTCCTTCTTCCGTGGCAGGGACGAGCCCGCGCCGGCAGAAGAGCTCCCTGTTGCGGATTGTATGGCAGCGACATTATTATTGGATGCGATAATGGCTGGCATGATGGGCGTCGCGTCGTAGGTGCCTATGAGCGGACGAGAGATGAAGTAGACAAGCCATGGCTGCGCATCGAAGGAGTCTGGGTAGAAGATGGTGTCGCTCAGCAGTTGTGCTTGGTTCAGCGTCTTGAATCCTGCAATCTGTCAGCGCTCAATATCCCTCATGCCTCTCTCTGCATCTCATGCGCCTGCGCACCCTTGTTGCTATATATGAAGGCATCCTTGACGATCACCGTGCGACCATTGGCCGTTGTGAATTGCTTCGCCTTGCCGCGCGTTTCTCTGAAGCTGGCAGCGTCCTTGATCTGGTTGTTGGGGCCCACGCCGCCGGGCACGCGCAGGACATGACTGGCAAGAAAGTCCTCCGACCCACTGAGGTCAACGTAGGAGGCATTCGATTCCTTGTCGCGCGAGGACAGGAGGACTTCAGTGGTAGGGACAAGCAGAACCTGGGCGCTTCAATTAGCTCTCCTTCTTCATGGCCATGTGCATAGTTATGGTGGGCGGAGGGGGCACGTACGTGATGCTGGACTGGCTGACACTGGCTGGGGAGTGCGCTCCGGAAGAAGGCCCGTAAGAAGGGATTCAGGACGGGAGGCATTCAATCGACATTCACCAGGGCTTCCTAGGGTCTTCGGCATGCAGAGAGCATGTGCGCTCGCGATCGGTACCGGGCAGGCCGGCGGGTGTTGTGGTGTGAGTGATGAGGGTTAGATTGGGCTGGGCTGGCTGTTGCGGGCGAGGAACGGGGCGGCGCTCTGGAGTGATGGACGGCGGGTGGGTGGGCGCTCGGAATGCGGAGTAAGGCTGCAAGCTTGTGTGTCTGTGGTGTGTTTATGTGGGTGCCAGCGTCGGCCTGGGGGAGTGGCGTGAAGGCGCAATTTGTTAGCACTTTGGGGGGGGGGGGGGGGGGAGGGGACAGAGGCAGCAAAGTCTTGGAAGTGTGAGGAGAAAAAGGAGCAGTAGGCAATGCGATCCAGCACCAAGAAGAAAGACAGCAAATAGTCAGTCTGGGCTTGTGAAGTGATCAGACTGGGGTTTGCGAAGAAGGTGAGCAGGCCTCGCGTACTGTGTCGGTCGTGGTAGCCTGTAGGGTCCATCTATGTATGGAGTTACTACTCCTAGTTGCATCGTACAGTTACCGGTAGCCCTGACTCTTAGTTACCAAGGAACGCGACTTTTGCCCTTTCGTCATCGCCGTTCCGCGCGCCCCCTGGTGACCCTGGTGAAACCCTTCCCCGGCTCGTCCCACGGCTTTTTTCTTCGTTTAAGCTCACGACATGGTCTGTCTGTCTGAATGATACTTAGATAGTACATACACATGATGCATCGCACGAGCACACGGCCAACGTCGTACCGATAGAATTCATCCATGGCCACTTATCCGCTACCTTTGACTCGACAACAACCTGTGCAGCCTTCAGAACTCGCTCACGTGCATCTACGCCGCCTTGCACAGCTTCGTCCCATAGTCAATCACGCTCCACTTCTCCGTCCCAGGCGTCGTCTGCGCATAGAAGAGGCCGTTGGCATCATACCTCTGGCGAATCTGCAGCAGGCGACCGTAGTTGGAGCCCCAATAGGCCTCCTGCCAGTTCGGCTCGTAGAGATCGCCCTCATTCACGTAGCTAGCACCGCCAGGCGAGACATCCCTCAGCCTCTGTCCAATGATGTTTGTGTTGTAGTGCTCACGTTCCTTCTTGACTTCCCAGGATTCCGTACCCGAGAGCAGCACATTGGTGATGACGAAGCTGCTCCCATTGCGCCACGCAGGGTGGATCGCATTATCTACTGTCGCCCATGCATGTCCAGGGTTCACAATGTGCCCAACATTTAAGCCCATTGTGTTCGAGTCGGGCGAAGCAGCGAACAGGAGAGCATCTGCAATGCCATCACCGTTCTGCGCAATGTCTTGCTGGGTGAAGAGTCGACCGCCAACCACGGAGTTGCCGTTCGCTCCCTCGTCCTCGAACAGGTCCAGGTACAACTCGAAGAAAGTGGGGAATGCCTTGGTGTAGGCATCATATGGAATTTTCGCAGCATCAAGCTGAGTGTAGAGGGGTTCCAAAACCTCCTTCAGTTTAGCCTCATCCATATTAGGTCCCACAAAAGGCGCAACATGCAGGCGTCCAGGCCCAGGGCCGAGTTCAAAGTATACGAACATCCCGTGGTTGCTATAGTGGTTTGACAAGTTGTGGAATATCCGGAAAGCTTCGTTGAACACCTTGGTGTCGTTCGTGTGTGTCGAATTGATGTTCAGAATGGTCCCAGCGGTGGGTATCTCAGGGAATGTCTTGACGGTAATAGCAACAACCACAGCGAATGAACTGGGGCCACCCCCCTTCAATGCCCAGTATAGATCCGCATGGCTTTCAGCATTTGCTGTGACAAATTCGCCCGCAGCCGTGACAACATCGAAGGACAGGACATTGTCAGCGCCCATCCCGTAGATTCCAGTAAGCGGACCATGCCCTCCACCCTGGATGTAGCCACCTGCCCAACCAACCGTCTATAGCCAATTAGCCTCGTAGGATGAGTGATTACCTTTCGACTTACAGGACATTCTCCACCGACAATAACCACCTTAGGACTTTGTGCAAAAGCCTGGCGGTACAATTCGCGGCCCTGGACACCTGCGCCGACAGTAGCTGCACCGCCGGACCACTCGCCGACACCAGTATACTTCTTCACAAACGTGACGTCCTTGAAACTGTGCGTGTTGATGATCAAAGAACCAAAGCCAGTAGATCGCCCCCTGCAAGGTTATGAGCACCCATATTGAGCCAACTGCGCACTCACTTACATGAAATCATGGCCAGTATTGCGGATAATTAGACGTAGATTGCGTTCCCGTGCGAAATTTACCCCGGCTTTGATCTGCTCCTTGGTCTTTGCCAAAATGACATACTGTCCGTAGAAGCCGCGTGTGCAAGGCTCTGATGGGTCGTCTGTAGGCAAGCAGGTATTATTGGTATACAGCGGCCAGAGGGCTGCAATAGGATGATCAGTTCTGCCACCATCGTTAGTCACTACTCCTACCCTCTCCTTCCTGGAAGGCCAACCTACGCCCATTGCTCGTTCGCCCAATTTGCCTGTGTATCCGCACATTTGGCTGCATCATAGACACTGATTGATGAATTGCCAAGCGACTTATGGCATACAGCGCCAGGCGGAATGGCAACCTGCAAAGCCCCGTTGACTGTCTTGTTGAGTTTGTCCCAGTCCTTGTTGGTCGGCCAGCAGGCATTGTCTGCATAGCATTTGCACTGATAGTCAACACCGTCAACATTCTTGACTTCTCCAATCCATTTGGTGCCCAATACACCATTGGCCGCCAACAGGAGCAAAGCGAATGGTGAGAAGCGGCCCATCCTGAAAAAAAAATTGAAGAACAGAAGAGCTGCTTTGCCACCTGAGACTTGTGGTATGCCTCGCATTTATAAACCCAGCCAACCTATTGCCCCTCATCAATCTAGTCTACTCTTTGGTCTAGCAGTGCCAACAGGGCTTCTATGCTGGCTGGAGAGCTTCGTAAATCACCAAAGTTCCCTTGTAACAAATGCAGTGGCTTAGCGATAAACCAATGAGCAATATACGGGTCGCCACTATGGTCTTGACGGCTTGTCACCCTGCAAGGGTCCCAGTATTAGGTTCCTGTAAGACGCTTATGCCGCGATCAAACAAATGGAGGAACATGCCGGATTGGGTGGTTAGTAGTACGGACACTCGAGTGGACATTCACTACCGTCAGATCTCAGGTATGGCACTTTTCTGCTCTTCCTATTGCCCCGGCTAAGCTTGGTGTGTCGCCGCCATCTTGGAATCTAGACTCTAAAAGAACCCTCCCGGTTTCCGAGCCGTTGTTGATGCAGGAGTGCGGGTCCTAGATAAACATGGTGGCATGGTTTTGCCAGAGGTGGACACAACTTTACCCAAGTAGATGGTCTTCTTCGGCATATCAAGTCGGACCTTTCGTTTGAATGTGCTGGTGAATGTCTTATTGGACAGCTAAGATCTAAATAGTCGGAGCTTAGATTGGAACATGCAGGCACCGCAGCCTGAAGGCACCTTGCGTATAGTGATTTCCCATACGCCCGGTCGAGCAAGGAACGTAATTTATAGGCGACGAGTATTCACTGTACGGGATGCGGACAATGATTTTGTTGCCTGTTTACGCGACATGTCCACCTGCCTTGTCATATGAAGGCTGCATGAGTGGAGAGTGCTAGGGCGAGCCTGTGCATGGCGTGCTGGGCTGCTCTTTGTGTTGTATCTGTAGCCAACTGGAATGCGCGGTGGCACAGATAGCCCCGATGGACTCTAACTTAACGGTGGATCTTGTTCACAAGACTCCGCTTTTTTTGCGGACCGCTGCGGCATTTCATATAAAATATGGCATGGTGTGGGAGCGGCGCGCTTCCGACGACGCTCCACTAGACCAGCCTCAAAGTCCCAAGTCCGATTTTGAGACTCAACAGGCCGCCAGCTGTCGGCAGATGTACATGAAGAACTTTCTCTCTACATCCTCTTTCGTAAGCGTCAATATGGACGAAAAAGTTTGCAGTGAGCAATGACTCGGCGAAAACACCTGTGTAGCGACCCGTCTGCGAACACTTAAAATCTATATCGCCTTTTCAGAACCGCCATCTTCCCAAGCGCAAATACGTTTTGGATTATCCTATGGTCGTCTGAATACGCGTTATAAAGGTATCGATCATGGCTTCCTCGAAGCTGTTCATCGTACATTTGATACGAGGGCACTACGTGGTGGCAATTAGTTTGCTGACGGTTCTTAGCGTAGTGACTACGGTACGGTAACCTTAGATCTAAACGGGGAAGATGATCCTGAATCCAGTCACGTGTCGTCCGAACTCGGGCAATTTTATTTGTTCCGTCGGTGGTGCCGATACTGCCTTTGTCTGATGCAGACAGTGATAGCATTTCTGGTACGAATATACAAATATTGGACTGGACTGTAATCGTCTGTTTAGAAACAGAGGTAGAAGTCATGAGCGTCCTTATCAATGAGATGGGCGTGGCCGGTGTTTGGTGAGGCCGTAGCTACGCGTTGTTCAGTGAGTGAACAAGTCGCATGATTTGTTTGGCATCATTAATAATGGGTATTTTGCCTGAATGGAGATAAAACAAGTGCTAGAAGTATTGCGAACAGCAAAGGGAAACAATTACGTGCATACCTAGTTGAGGGGATGTCCAGATGAACATTGAGTGGGTGCGTCACGTGAGGACGCGCCATGTTTGGCATCTACAAAAAAGGTAAGACGCATGGGGGCGCGGAATGTTCGAAAAGTATCCTCAAAAACGGAACTTTTTTATTTCTTCAAAGAAAAGAGGACCAGAAAGTATAGTTGTTCACCGTATTTAAGGCTTTGAGATGTTGAACTATCATTACTGTGCATTGCGTCTGAACTTGGGCATCCCGTTCTTCTTACCCCAGCCCCAAACCTTGCTGTTGAGGTCTGGAACAACCAAAAGCCACACGATGGTTGCGATCCAGGCGCCCATGGTGTCGATTATGGCGTTGTTCCTCTGACTCCCAGACAGCGTACCCAAACGCATCAGTTCTCCGAGCCAATTGGTCGCTGTCATGAAATTTCCAGCCTCCAAACCTTGTACCGCAGCTGTGGCAGCCTCGAGCTCCGTCTGTTTGGGATCCGTAGACTCAAGCTCACGAGTCACGGCATGCTTGGTCTTCTCTTCGTTCTCATACCCTGGAGAGAGGATTGTTCCAGGGAGAATGAGGTGGATGTCGACGTCGAATGGTGCAGGTGCTTGAGTGCTACCGGGGCTCTTTGAACGCCGCGCAGCATTGTATAGCTGCACTTCGGAGCGTAGACCGTCGGCAAGAGAGCGTAGGGCTGCTTTGGCCGGAGCGTAAGGCGAATAGCCTGCGAGGTTGATAAAGGCAATGACAGATGATGTGATGATAAATTTCCTGGGAGGCTCCAGCGCTTGGCCTTTGCCGTGTGGCTTATACGGTTGTTCGGGGTAGAACCAGGCTTTCAAGGTCGCGTGTGCTAGGTATGCCGCAGCGAAGTAATTCAGCTCCATTTGTGTCCGCAAGGTGTCTGTACTGGTCTCTATGAATAGCCCCGGTTTTGCGGACCCTGCGATACACCATACGATCTCTGGCATCTTGCCATTATTCCAGGCAATGGCCTCTGACACGATGCGCGCATTTTCACTTTCGGAGGTCACATCAGCCGAAATAAAAGTGAAGCGCTGAGTCGCAGGGTTCCTTGCATGAGCCTTCGCGTGTTCGACAGCTACCTCGAGGTTCTTGGTAGTCCGGGCGACGAGGATGAGGTTTGCGCCGCGAGCAGATAGTAATCGAGCAACTTCGCGACCCATACCCTGGGAGGAGCCAGTAAGAAGCACCGTCTATAATAAGGTTTAGTAAGATATTGCTATCTACTGTAGGTATCCTGAGTATCTCACCTGTCCCTCGACTTGGAACTGATTGCTCTTCCAGAATGCAAATCCCATGATATCGGCACTGACGATTCCGACCAGAATGAGGAGCACGACCGTAGCTGTCAGAAGCAATTGAGACATGAGGATGAGAAATCGCAAATCAGAAATCAGAAATCAGGGTACAAGCTGCCGAGATACACTTCAGCGCAGCTCCAGTCGCATTGAGGCTGTTGTATGAACAGACACTGTTATAGCTGCATGTGAATTCATCAGACACTTGGGCCCAGTGTGGCTAGCGTTGGAGAGGATCATAACCCTGGAACGCCGAATCTCCGCGGGTGTGCCAAGATTTCGTATCTGAAAAAAGTTGAGCGCAACAGCACTTGCAAACTCTCACCAATTGCCATTACGCGCGCATATATCCAAAATGGCGAAAAAGAGGAAGGCAAGCGGCCGTCCGTCGGGCGAGTCAAAGAAGTCAAGGAAAGAAGACTCGCACATGACCATTACCAATTACGAGGATGTCGCCGATTCCGAGGACGAGTTCCTCATCAACCGCGAAAAGATTTTGCTCGACGAAGGTCCAGCCGCAAAGAAGCTGAGAAAGTGGAAAGAAGAGGGTCAGTGATTTCAGATGGTATGGTATGAAAAAGAAGAAGACGGCTGATGTTCGTGCATTAGACAAGTTCTTGGAGCAATCGGACGAGGAGGTGCTCGACGATGGCATCGACGACGACGACGATGACGACAGCGGGGACGGTGTTGAAGACGATAGTGAAGCAGACGCCGAATCCGATGACGGAGAACAGCAACAACCTAACGTTGATGAGGATGAGTTGGATGTGGGCGCCTGGGGTGCATCAAAGAAAGACTACTACAACGCCGATGCGATCGAGACCGAGCAGGATGCCTTGGACGAAGAAGCAGAGGCGCGGCGCATACAAAAGAAGCAGCTCCAGAGCATGACCGAGGCCGACTTTGGGTTTGACGAAGAAGAGTGGCTTGGGCGGGACGAGGAAAAGGATACAGAGTCTGGCGCAATAGTGACGGAGGTCCTGCCTCAACTTCAGATCACCGAGAACATGTCTGAGGAAGAGCGCCTGAAGATTATGCGCACACGATACCCTGAATTCGAGCACATTGCGAGAGAATACCTAAGGCTACAACCGCTGCATGATGAATTAGCTGCGTCTGCCAAAGCGGCTGAACGGCTGCTCCAAATGCAGGCTGAGAAGACGGGAAAACGGAAAATCTGGTCTACTCCCATGGCAATCACAAAGTATCGCGCTTGCGCAGCGTATCTTGCGGCCATGGCCATGTACTTCGCTGTGTTGGGGTCTACTGCGAGCAACGACGGCTCACCAGTCATTGCCTTGGATCCCGCCGAACTACACGAACACCCCGTGATGGAGAGTCTACTCAAGTGTCAGAAAATGTGGACTCGAATCGAGAGCATGCCTTTTGCCGATCCCCTGGTTGACACTGGGAATGTTGACGATCTTTCCGTTGTCGAAGAGGGTGGCTCAGATCAAAATGCGCCATCCGATATCGATGTGGCTGACCTCAAGACGAAGAAAAGCAAGACCAAAGCTGAACGAGCGGCGGAAATTGCCCAAGCAGAAGCAGCAGCACGCCGAGCTGCTAAATTGGCAAAGGCAGAGCAGGAGCTCGCATCTCTCGACTCCCTGACAGACAAGGCTGCACTCAAGAAGGCATACCGCAAGAAGAAGCCCACCGAAGCCAAGCTCAATCTACTAAACGCGGACGACTCAGACTTTGGTGAAGAGACGGAACTCACCGCACACGAGGCCGCCGAAAAAGCCAAAAAGAAGAAGTCTCTCCGCTTCTACACCTCGCAAATTGCACAAAAGGCCAACAAGCGCGACGCAGCAGGCAAAGGTGGCGGCGGAGACGCAGACATACCCCATCGCGAGCGCCTCAAGGACCGACAAGCACGTCTCCAAGCCGAAGCCGAGAAGCGCGGCCAACACAAGGATGCTGGCCCTGGCGTGACCCTCGGCGAAGACGACGGCGCAAGCTCTGGCGACGACGCTCCTGCGCCACCGCGCCCCGAGGACTTTGGGGACGAAGACGGCTACTACGACATGGTAGCCGCACGCTCTGACAAGAAGAAGCAAGCCAAGCTCGATCGTGCAGCCGCTTACGCTCTTGCCGCCAAGGAGGGAGCCCAGGTTGTCGAGGAAGAAGTGGTGGGAGATGACGGGCGCAGGATGATTAGTTACCAGATATCGAAGAACAAGGGCTTGACGCCACATCGGAAGAAGAGCGTGAGGAATCCGAGGGTGAAGAAGAAGGAGAAGTACAAGGAGAAGCAGAAGAAGCTCAAGAGTATGAAGCCTGTGTTTGATAGCAAGGCTGCTGCGAAGGGGAGCGCGAGCTACGGTGGTGAGCTTACGGGTATCAAGAAGGGCTTGGTTAGGTCAAGGAAGTTGTAGATGTTTGCATAGGCAGAGCCGATGATTGAGCGGAATTTTAGGATTCATTATGTTTCTTGCGTAATGCCCCTGACTACTACACCTTATTCCCTTTGTATCGCTAATGCATGTTTACAAACCTGATACCCTTTAAAATTAACTTTAAGGTTAGACGATACTCTAGCAACTCACTTACTTATCCAACATCAACTCCTCATAGTCTGGTATCTTCCACTTCGTCTTGGAAGCAGGCAGTGAACCCAGCACCCAGGCCACCATCTTGTCCACCTTCAAACATGCCACACCCCACAACACGCTATTCCACATCCAAATTGCCCATTCCGACTTCGGATACCAACCGCTCGCCACCCCCGGCATCAGCCTCTGACACTCCAGAATAGGCTGCTTCATGACTTCCTGATAGGCATCGAGCGCCTTGTCCACATCCCGCGGGTTCCTCGCCAGCTCGCCAGCGACGCCCATCAAGGACAGCGTGGTCCCCATACCCGTGAACAAAGAGGGGCAATACCCGGCATCACCTAGCAGAACCACACGATCTTTGTGCAGTTTCTGGCCCGGCATCTTGACCTGGCCAACCTCACAGGCATAGAAATCGTCTACGTCTTGCAGCGCCTTTAGGAAGCGCGGTGATTCCCAGCCCGCGTCCTGGAAGAGTTGCGTCCAGGCGGCTTTTTGCTCGGCCAGTGGGCGCTTGAAGGTTGCGGATAGATGGGCGGATTCCTGTGGTGTGGCGTCCATGAGGAAGTGGTAGATTTGGGTTTCTGGACGGTCGCCGGTGCGGGTGAGGTACATTCTGCGGTTGGGTCCCATGTAGATGCGCGCGAGGTTTGATTCGGTGGGGTGCCGCGGGATGTTGTAGAATGCAGCGTGGATGTTGAGTGACTTGAATGCTGAAGAGCTGGTTTCTTCACCAAAGGCTAGTTTCCGTGTGCGAGAGCCTTGTCCGTCTGCTGCGACGACGAGGTCGAAGTGGGCGGTTTGGGAGTTGGAGAAGGTGACATTTACGCCTGGAGTCTGTGGGGATGTAGATGGCGAGAGCGCTGTTATGGTTTGATTAAAAATGTAGGTGAAGCCTCCGTCTTTGATGCCTTTTGCTTCTGCCTTGTTGCGCTCCTTTTTCGTCCCCGAGAAAAACATGCTCATGAAGTCGCCTCTCATGAACTCGTACTCATGTGTCAAGTTTACCTTGTTGCATTTTCACCGGCAGCCGTTATACCAAAATCCATCACGCACTTTCCATTCTTGCCGACGATATTCATGCCCGTCTCTTTGACGCAGTAGCTAGCAACGGTGTCCAAAAGCCCAAGCTTTTTAGTGATGGGTATATCTTGGCTCTCCAGGTCGATTTGTTGCCCTCCAGTGCGAAGGGTGGGAAAACGTTCAACGATGGTAATGGTGTGAGAGGGATTAGACTTCATGAGCATCAGGGCAAAGGCTGGACCGCACACGCCTGCGCCGATGATAAGGATGTTGAGGGGAGTTTTGGTATCGGGAGGTGAATCTGAGGTCGCCATTGTTGCTATTTGTGTGTTGTAGAAGATGGCGGATATGCGGAAGAAAAGATGTCGGCTGGGGGAAGAAAATGATGATACAACAGAGACGTTCCTGCCTCTCTCGTGATGCAAGCAATTAACAATGACAACTAACGCAACGCACAAAGCATGTATCTACGTGACAGTTCTTGATCAGACGTTTGTTTGCGCGATCCCTTTGTGAAACTTGATTCAGCATGTCCGATGCCTTTCCGCCCAACACAGTCGGTGATCAAGGCCTCCGCACCGCATCTCCGTGTCCGGTCAACAAACTTTGATATGGTGTTCACCGTGTTCACGATGTTGGCGAGTTTCGTCGTGCGAGATTGATGTACCGGTAGAGCTGGTACCCTTACGCAGCCAATGGTCTGCCGGGGTACGGTAATGCTGCTGCCTTGATCCTTGGGTAGCCCTAGCACCAAGTAGAGAGCACACGACACAGGTAGGATGGCGGTTTACATACGACCCTGGCACATGTAATGAGCACAATAAATCATTGTGTGTACTATGCCATTGATCTTGCCTGTGACTGACTTACTGGGGGACTTGTACGAAAGAGAGCGCTGTGGTGGGTCTAACTAACGGCGCCAAGATTACCGGTACCGTAACTTAGGTAGCGTGGGAAGCTCATCGCTTTAACATGACGGGGTCGCACCTTCATCGCATCTAACCACCCATTCGTCGCATCACCGACCAGTGCCATCTTCAAAGGCCTATGCAAGGAGAGAGTGCCGCTACTAGCTTATACAATCACTAGTGGAATTTCTACGCCACACAAAACAGCCGTCACTCCAGCCCTCCACCATGGCTTTCCTAGGAACAGTCCTGAATGGCATTGGCGCGATGCTGTTAACGCATGCGTACGTCCAGAGCTCTATATACATACTGTATAGATATGCCTCATCATTCCCAGCCATACTCACCCACATTGCAGTGTATACTCGACCCACGAACACACAGCAACCTTCAAATCCACCCCGCTTCCCCTCGATATAAGCCTAGAGCTACTGGCCTCCATCGCGCTACTCTCCCTCGGAATCGTCGTGTCATTTGCCCCGCTTAAGCCGATACGATACGCGGAATGGGCCGGCCAGCTCTCCCGCACGGGCAGGCGTGGAAAGGGCGAATACACGCGAGAGGGCGAGGAGGTGCTCAGTGAGGGCGACCCTTATGCCTTCCTAGGATTAGACAGTGGGATTGGCGGGAAGGGAGAGGGAAGAAAGGGCTTCTGGGACGTCAAGGGGAAGAGGAAGGAGTACGAGGAGTGGGTGAGGAGTGGAGAGAAACAGTAGAGCATGGGTGCATTGGATGATGGATATCGAATGTGAATCATATTGGGGCCTTTTTCTGGTAAACAACAACAAATGCACCTAATCGCCAGCTTCCCGTCCGATCATCCTGACGCCTGAAAAATCCCAAACGCCTTGTTGAAGTGGCCATCTATGCTGGACTCACAGCTCATTCCATCATGTGTCGCTCATCATCTTCTCCACCGAACTCCCACACCTCTGCGCCTTGCACGCCCAGCACTCAGACTGTTTCATCGCCTTCCCAATCACCTCCACATCTGTACTCTTCCTCCGCGACCCCTCCTCATCACTATTGATATCAACGCCACTAGCCCACCAAACCGCTGCAGCAATGATGTGCAGCACAATCTCCACCTCTGCCTCATCCCGGGGTGCATAGATCAACATGAACTCCCTAGGCACAAAACGTCGACACCAGCCTCCCCTCGCAAGCGGATGACGTTCACCCCATCCCTTTCGGATAATCAGATTGGCATCTGCCGGGTGCATGGTCATGTGCATGGAGCCATCAGAAGGATGGGCGTGGCAGATTTCCCCACCGCACGCTCGTGTAATAGGCACGGTAGTGAAGAGGCCCGAGCTATGCTTTTCAAAACAGGAAGTCTGCTCAATCAATTGATTCTTCGAGTCGGCAACAAGGCCCTTCATCTTCTCCACCAGTCGTGCGTAGACTTTCTCGCCGCTCTTTTCCGTCTGTTGGCGCTGGGGCGCAATGCCTCGTACCACAGGCCGGTCACCAAGGCGTCTGGGTAACAGGTCGTCGCGGAAGTAGCCTTGCTGGGGGCGGAAGTGGGAGGGTATGGGGATGGGACCGAGAGGGTTCCGCAGGCAGACTAGAGAGAGGAGTTTAATTTTGAGGTAGCCGAGGGGCGTCGATGGGGTGCCGCCGGGTCCGAGGTCGAGGAAGGCCTTGTAGTCTTTGCGGATGTAGAAGGCTGCGAGTAAAGGGAGCACCAGCGTGAGGATGGCTGTCAGGATATCGAGTTGCGTGGCGGAGAACATTGTGGCTTTCATCAACGTCTGCTGCAGGTCCCGCAACGGTGTGCTTTCGTTGTTTCCCTGCTCCATCTTTTGTAGGCCCAAATGATATTTCAAAATGGGCTATCGTGTGTCTGGTGGAAAAATCGTGGCAGGTACCGGTACAGCCCAGAGCTGCGAAATAGACTTTCCCACACAGCAATTCCCCTCTGTTGCCCAACACCAGTCGGAGCGGTACAGCCAGCGGGCCACGGAAGGGAAAATGAAATAAAATGCAAGTTGTGTCCGCGGGCTTGGTGGTACCTGAAAATGACGAAGTTATGAAGTCAAACAGACGACAAATGATGATGGATCTTGAACCCTCAACACAGAAGCAAAACCGCTTTGGAATGAGAAGCTATAGGACACGGTAAGGGGCGGAAAAGCCACTCTTTGCTGACCAAGTATTACGTCG